GGGGCGGGGCCCGGGGCAGCAGGGGCGGGGTCGCGTCGTGCGGGGCCGGGCCCGGGGCGGCGGGGGCGGGGTCGAGTAGGGCTGAGGAGCGGAGGCAGGGGCGGGTCGTGCGGGGCTGCGGAGCCGGGGGGTCGAATCTTGCGGCTCCGTGGAGGCGGGGCGGGTCGTGAGGGACAGGGGCGGGGCCCGGGCAGGGTGTCGCGCGCCCGCGCCTCCAGCTCACGCCGCGCCCGCCCCCAGCCCCTCGTCCGCGGAGGAGAAGAGCACCGGCAGCATACTGGACGACATCGGCAGCATGTTCGACGACCTGGCCGACCAGCTGGACGCCATGCTGGAGTGACGCGGCTGCTCACGTCGGGCCCGCCCGCGCCGCCCGGGGCCCCCGGCCCGCACACTGACCTTTACCTCAGGGTGGGCACCTCTGGGCGCAGCGCGAGCGGGCAGGGCGGAGGGCCGACGGGGGCCAGGCGGGCAGGGGCGGGCCCGTGCTGCCCATCCCCTGCACAAGCACAACTCCTGCCCCCTGGGCCCAGGCCGGACGGCCGGCCTGGAGGACTGCCTGGCCAGGGGACCCGAGGGCTCTAAGTAAATGCTGCTGCCCGGCGGGTGCCCGTCCCCGTCTGCTGCTCCCTGTGCAATAACTGCTGGGCCACACCCGCCCACCCGCGCCGGGCTCTGCCTGCTGCGGGCGAGGAAGGGCAGCCCCTGGCCCCCTGCCCTGAGGCCAGGCCGGGTCTGCCCTGGGAGGCAGTGGGAGGCGGACGGCCGCTTTGGCCCCCTCCCCGATCTGTGGCAGAGCACAGGCCTATGCCCAGCACAGAACTGCCCATTGGGGACTTCTGCCAGCCGCTCCAGCGCAGCACAAGGGACTGGGGCTGGGATCACGCCCCCTGCCCCACTGTACCCCCCAGAATATAAGCTATCGAGAGTATTAATTTATTGGGAATGAGCTGAGGCAGATTTCCCCAGAGAAACAAAAAGGTATAACTTTAACAAATATATATTTAAAGAAAGAAAAAATATTATTGATTCTATAGAAAACCATTTACCAACTGTAAGGACACTGAAGTCTAGCTCAAGACAAAAGCTGTTAGAGGCCCTGGCTGTCTGTCTGTCCATCCTTCCCTCCCTCCGTCTAGGACACCTGGCCCAGTAGCACAAACAGGAGGCTGGGGTCCGGGAGGGTCCGTGCTCCGCTGGGGCCTCCCCTCGCTCTCCTAACTTCTCTGCGTCTGAAGAACTCAAAGGATGTGCCTTGCTCGCTGCTGGGCTGTGTCCTCCGCACCGTGGAGCCGGTGGGGAGGGGCTCCCTGCTCTCCCAGGGTGCCGGTGTGAGGCGCGCCTGGGCTCCGGGGGGAGCCGTGCGTGCAGCGTGGGCACGTCAGCTGGGTGACCTCGGTGGGTGCAGGGCGTGCATGCCAGGCTGCGTGTGGCGTGTGTCAGGGTGTGCCTGACCCTCCCTCCTCAGGGCTCCTCGCTGGCCCCGTACAGACAGCCTGCCCTCCCCCATCTGAGTTCCCACGGACGCTTCTGCTCATGGTCCAAGGCTGTGTCGTGTGGTCGTCCTTGCCCTCTCTCTCTTTTCCTCTCTCTCCCCTTTCCAAAAAGTACTGACTGGCCTCCTCTATTGTGTTTGCTGATCCACGTGTGTTGGGCACAACTTTGACGTTTCTTAAAAAAAAAAAAAAAAAAAAAAAAAGAATTTAAAAACGCCGAAAACCAGCGGTTGCGAGGCGGGCGGGTGGAAGGGGTCAGCCAAGGTGGCATCTGAGCGTGTGGGCCCTTTCCAGCTGTCATGCCCTGATAACTTCCCCAGGTGGGTGTGCCTGGCCTCCCTTCAATGGGCGGCCCAGGCTGGGGCTCCAGCAAGTGGGGAGGGGGGTTCCGGGCAGGGAGCTACTGTCAGCTGTCAATAAACAGCAGAAAACAGAGCTGCCTGGCTCACTTCTTGGGGACGTGTGTTGGGGAGAACGGGGGTCTAGCTTGCTCCTGGCAGGGAAGAGAAGTCACCAAGAGGGCCACATCCTGGAGCTGACAGGAGCCCTTCTGTGGCTCCTCCCCAGCCTCCCTCCCACTGGCCGCTGGTGCCCCAGCACAACAGCATTCCCGGGTGGCCTGTCACCCCAAGGACTATCCCCACTCACAGCCACAGTCTGTGCAGCTTTTATTTCAATCAAGAAGTAATCAAATCTATATACAGTCTAAAAACAGTAGAAAAGGTGAGTAAAAAGGCCCACAGTCCATCTGGGGCAGGGATGGAGGGTGGGCCGGGCGAGCATCGTACCTGGCACCCAGCGGGAGGGGCTGGGCACTGTCTTGGCGGCGACGATCACAGGACCAAGCAGAGGGAGGCTCGCCGGGCACAGGGTGGGGAGGGCACTGCCTGGCCAGGTGAACCTGTCGGTCTGTCCCCGCAGGGCAGGCAGTGAGCGCCCCTTGAGACCCCTCATGTGGCCAGCCTGGTTGGGACAAGCCTAAGGGAGGTCCCAGAGGAAGCCAAGACTGGTCTGGATTCTGTTAGCAAGTCCAAACCTGCAGAGGAAGGGCTCTGTTTCAGCTGCCCCTCCGGCCACGCCGCCCCACCACCACCTGCCATCCTCACCTGCCCTCCGCTGCCACCGACCCAAGGCTTCTAGCTCCTCGCCCCCCGCCCCCCGCTCCACACACGCAGCCCCTTTGGAAGGCCTGAGCCGAGGCACTGACCTTCACAGTGCTGTCCACAGCTCCCGAGAAGAGCCGGCCCCGGGACACGGCCAGTGCGGTCACACTGCCCTGGTGACGCAGCAGGGTCTGCGTGCAGATCATGTTGTCCATGCTCCAGACCTGGGGGCACACGGGACATGAGGGCCTGCCCACCTGGGCCCAACCGCCCACCGTGAACCTCCCACCACCACTAGGTCCGCACGCACCCTGAGAGACCGGTCATAGGACGCGCTGAAGACTTTGGTCTGGTCTGGCGTTGAGATGACCGCCAGGGCATACACAGTGCCAACGTGGCCTGTCAGGGTCCGCACCTGCTCCTTGGACTCAATGTCCCACACCTGAAGGAATGGCCCAGGCAGGTCAGAGCCACAGGCTCCGGGGAGGACAGCGCCCCGGAGGCAGGCCCTGCCCCTAGGTGCCCGCCTTACGTGGATGAGGTTCTCGTAGGTGCCACAGACAATGTGGTGATTCGTCACAGCGATAGAGTAGACGCTGCCGCCAGATGTCTGCAGGACGTGGATGCAGTCGAGGGTCCGGATGTCCCAGATCTACGGACAAGCTCGAGCCCGTCGGTCCCAGGCCCGGCACCTTGCCCTCCGGGCCTCTGGATGCTAAGCAGCCCGCTCGTCACCCAGGATGTGTGTGAGGGTCTCCCCAACCCGGCGGCATGGGGGCAGGGCAGACGGAGCCCCCGGGGCCGGCCTGGGCAGTGCCAGCCCAGGGGTCTAGCCTAGTGAGGGGTCTTCCCACGCGAAGTGTGTGCAGACGCACCTTGATTGTCTGGTAGGAGCCGCTGTACAGGTAGCTCTGGGCAGCCACCAGCGCCCGCACCCAGTGGTTGAGGCCCGTGAGCTCCTTCTTCAGCTTCAGTTCGGTGCCCACGATATCCCAGACCTGTGGGGACGGCCACGAATGCAGGCTGGGGCGCAGGGGTCCGGTAGCCCGCCGCCCCACATGTGCACACGCGAGGCCGGCCTGACCTTGATGGCCTTCAGGGAGCCGCTGAAGAGCATGTTGTGTGAGGAGACCAGCGTGCACACGGGGTTGTCGTGGGCCCGGATCGTGTTCACCTTCTGCAGGTTCTGGATGTCCCACACCTGGCGGGAAGGACGACAGGAAGCCTCGGGTCGTGGTGGCACGGCGGGCCTGGGGCCCCCGGAAGCCGGTGCGGCCCAGGCCCCTCCCACCCACCTGCCGCGGCCCCACTCACGATGATGGTGCAGTCCGCTGAGCCGCTGTAGAGCTTGCACCTGGGGGAGCGGAGCCAAGGGGTCAGGGCAGGAGAAGCCACTGTCCTCGCTGGTGTGGCCTTGCCAGGCCAAGGGAGCACCAGCCACCGGGAAGCCACCAGGAACCGGCAGCTCGGCCGGGTTCCTCCTGCTGCCCCCAGCCCTCCGTCTTCCTGTTCCGGCGAGGGAACCTTGGGGGTAGAAGCCTGACCCCGCCGCCTGCCTGGCAAGCGTCCGACAGAAGCTGTGAGGTAACTACCCCTGTTAGTGCTGCCGACGGCCAAGCAGCTGCTTTCCGGGAACGCACGTCTCTCCCTCTCCTGCCCACAACATGAAGTCTCATGACACGAGACAGGAGAGAAGGTCGAGAGGGGCTACCCTTCTCGGGCGAGGGGGGAGCTGGGCAGGCCACTCTGTGGTCCTGTCCCCAAGCTGTGCCTGAGGCTCTGGCTACAGGCCAGCCGAGCGACGGCGGAGTTCCTACCTCCCCCAGGCGCCCCAGCTCCGGGGCCGCACACTGTGAACGTGGGGGCCTGCGTGCCACCACCCAGCCATCCAGCCCTGCTCAAGGATGAGGGTGCCCCGCAGGAGAGGTAGACACAGCCAGCTGAGGACACACGTGGACCGTGGGGGGAGCAGGGTGTCTCCCGTCCCCGGCTCCACGTGGGTACCATGCACGCCTGCACTCACCCCTGGATGCAGAGCGCCAGCACAATGCCGTCGTGGCCTTCTAGCGTCTTCTGGCACTTGTAGGTGGTACACGTATCCCACACCTGCAGAGGCCACCATCAGGCTGGGTCCCAGGAGGGTCAGCCCAACGCCAGGAGGCAGCATGGTGGGAATGTGGAGGGAAGGTGGGCGCAGGCAGCGCCCATTGCCCCCCCGCCCCCCGCCACCAGGCTGTAGACCACCTCCCTGGGCAAGACCCCACTCACCTTGATGGTCTTGTCAGAGGAGCCGCTGAAGAGCAGGTCCCCCATGGAGTAGACACACAGACACCAGACGGGGCCCTGGTGGCCCACAAAGGTTCCTTTGCACTTGAAGATCTGTTGTGGGTCATAGGCTGCGGAGACGGGAGGAGCTGGTGAGGGCCCGGGCGGGGGCGCCCAGGGGCAGCAGAGGGGGCAGCGGCAGGCCCGTACTCACATCCGAGGATGCCTGTGTTCAGCCGCGCGTTGATGTGGGACAGCTCATCCTGCCAAGACCAAGAGTACAGGGCATGCTGGCTGTGGGTCCACGGTCCCCCTGCCCCCACGCGGCAGCAGCCGCCTCCCCCAGCACAGACACTGAACCCTTACAGCGGGGTGGCGGGGAGCGGGGCAAGCCTCCTGTTGGGGCCTAGGCCGAGGGCCGCTCCTGCGTCCCCACCCCCCCACCCCCCACCCCGCACGTGGCCCCCTCCCGCTCACGTTCAACATGGACGCATCCCTCCGGAACTCCATGAGGTCCTCGCTGAGCTTGCTCTGGTTTTCGTCGAGGACGTCTGAGTGGCAAGGAAGAGGGTGTCAGGGACCGGGAGGAGAGGCCACACCCCTGCCTTCTGGGCCGCGCCCTCACCGAACTTGAGCTCCAGGCTCTTCTCCAGCTGGTCAATCTTCTCCGAGAGCTTGCCCAGCATGGAGCGCAGGAAGGCGATCTCCTGGTCCTTCTGGGCCAGCGCCACGTGCATCTCGTGGAAGCGGTCGTCCGTCTGCTGCAGGAACTCCTTCAGGCCCTCGAAGCGGCAGGTCTCCAGGTGTGTCTCATACGTGTCCTGGTTCCCGATGAATGTGCACCTGGAGACGCAGGATGGCTGCCCTGCCCACCTGCCTGCCCAGTGAGGCACTGCCCCTGCCCACCCCCCCCCACGCCTCCCCACACCTCCCACCTGCTGCCCACCCGTCCATCCTGCTCCCACTCAGCACCCATCAGGCCACTTTGGGAGGAAATCTAGTCCTTCTGCTCCCAAAGCTCCTTAAGGGCTCTTCCGCACCCTTCGACAGCCTCCCGGCTCCTGCCTCTTCCCCCCCCCCCCCCCCCCCCCCCCTCTACCCCCCCCATGATGGTCCAGCCGCCCGAAGCCCTCATGCTAGTCTTTGGCTCACACCCACACATGCATCAGTTCTCAGGGACCCCCCCCTTCCCTGACCTCCCAGCTCGCCGACCACTCCGACCCCTCTGCGTTCCTGTGGGGCTCAGGCCTCTCCTTCACGGCACCTGTACCTCAGTTTGTAATTACATAGCTGACGGTGAGGCTCCCGCTAAGGTCCGTCTCCCCAGGACCCTGGCTGTCTCCCCAGCGCCCAGCACACAAGCAGATCTCAACAAGGGTTCGCTGAAGGAGGGACTGTGAATGCCAGCCCGGAGGCCCCGCCGCCCCCGCCCTGCCCGCCCACCGGCCGGGGGCAGCCCACATGCCCACCCCCGCCCACTCACCCGTACTTGGAGTGGGGACACTTGATGTGCTCACACTCCTTGAGGTGGGCCTCCAGGTTCATCTTGAGGAGGGGCGGGCAGCTGGGGTTGTTGGGGCACCGCACAGGCCTGTAGTCACAGCTGCCCTCGTGGTCCCTTTGGGAGGCGGGCGTCAGTCCCCAGAGGCACCGGCTCTCAGCACCCCTGGGAGGGGTGGGGGGCGGGGGCCGAGGACAGCACTTACTTCCGAGCGCTGAGCTTGATGGTGAAGGGGCACCCTCGGGGATCCACCTCAAAGACGGCAGGCTTCCCGGCCCCCGCTGCCCGGCAGCCGTGCCTGCAGTGGATGAACAGCTCCCCGATCTGCTCGGCCACCGCGATGTTGTTCACCACCACTGTCAGCTTGGCGTGGTCCACGGGGCACTTCTCTGGAGGGGAGGGCGTGCTGACCTCACCGTCCACCTGGCTGTCCCTGCCCCGGCAGCTCGGCTCTGAGTGCTGCGACCAGGCTGCACTGGGGGCGGGCTCTTCCCTGGTAAGTCCCGGTGTGGCAGGCCCGGAACGGGCTCCTCAGGCTGGCCGCACCGAGCCTCTTTCTGGGCCCT